TGGTTACCTAAAAATTAACATATAACAACTCATATTAAACAAAAGAAATTCCCTCCCATGTGTAATTGTGTATATGTATTTGTTATGATTCAGTATATATATGTGTGTGTGTATAATATAAATATACTTAACATAAAATATATGTGATATATATATATATATATATATGATCATTCTCTCCAATAGCTTACAGAGTCTTAAAACTTCAGCAGTATCTCCATTCAGATAACTGTATTAAAAGTGTTGGTTTTCCCTTTCTCATGAAATGCAACTTCCCACCTCTGTCAATTTTTTAAATCCTTCTGAAGAGTACTATATATGGATAAAATACTGGCGTTGACATGACAGGTACAAAGCGTACACAAGGTCAGCTGGTTCTGACTCTTGATTCTCCCTTGTGTCCTGGTGGCATCTCATCACCCGGTTTTGGTTGACTGTCCTCTGAGTTTCACCCCTTGGGATGCAGTTGTCCTCATCCTAAGCTTGGCCCACCATGACTGAAAAATGCTCTTAAATTATGACTTTCAATCCTTTATCATTTTGATAAAGTCAGAAAGTACAAGACAATATCTCTAACAACTTCATCACTAAAATATAAACTCAATAAAATACAGCTGTAATAGTATTGGTTTGTGTGTTCATTCCTGTTTTTAACTTAAAAAAAATATTACCACAACCTGAAATTATCAAATATTTAAAGAACTGTTTATTACTGTTTACTAAACAGTAATACTCTGACTGTGCTGGCAAGTTGAAAGTCAAGTCACTAAAAGCCCAAATTTTCTCTAGTTCTTGGAATATTTACAATTTTAAGCAAGGTTATCACTGATAAAGGACAAAGTTCTCAGGCAAGAAATTGTCTTTACTTTCTATTCTTTTCCTTAAATCTTTATCATTCATTCCTTCTCACAAGCCAATTCTCATAATTAAAAATCCTACACCCAAATGATTACAATTTCTTAGGCTATAGACCAATCACCAAATATTTTGACCACAAAACATTTTAGACATGACTATTCTGTCAAGCAATCATTCATCTTAAACATGCTACCATTATTTTTAGTGATAGCCTAATTCCTACAGAAATAAAAATATGTGACATCATAGAAAATGACATCAAAACTGTGACATCTGATGGAAACTGAGAGCACTGAAGAGGCATCTGCGCATAACCTAGGCTGCAGACCAGATGAAGACTGCACCTTCATAGCACCTGACTGCCCCAACAGTCAGCCCCACAGAGCCGCATTTCCCCATCCCCACTGACCATAAATCAAACTTAATTCTTCAGGAGTCTTTAGACAGTTTCAAAGTCTATATAGTCTTCTGAGTCTCTGTGTCCATACAATCAGTAATAAAAATTCTTCCCTCCCAGAAGAGAAAATCATACACAAAGACAGTGACAACATGTCCAGAAACCACAATGGAAGTTGTTAGAGTGGAGTGGGGTGGTGCTGACCTAGATCTGAGCAACTGGTAGAAAACGTGACTCTAATGCTGAATGACAAACATTTTTAAACCAAATTCTACCTAGTTTGACATTTTTATATAAAGGACAGAGGTGTAAAGAGAGCAGCATTGTCAGGAATTTTTTACATTTTCACCAAGAGGGCTTTTCTATCCATCCTCGACATGCAGCAATTTTAGGAAACCTTTCCATGAGTGAATGAATGCTACTAGAAATTCCTCATGAGAGCTAACAGATAACGCACGGAAGTTCTCTGGAGACTCTCAGAGCATCATAGTTAACTTTCTACTTGTCCATAAAATACATATCATTTAACCTGTCAATTAACATTTAAGAAATATAGGTGTCGGGAGCTGGAGAGATGGCTCAGTGGTTAAGAGCATTGCCTGCTCTTCCAAAGGTCCTGAGTTCAATTCCCAGCAACCACATGGTGGCTCAAAACCATCTATAAAGAGGTCTGGCGCCCTCTTCTGGCCTTCAGGCATATACACAGACAGAATATTGTATACATAACAAATAAATAAATAAATGTTTAAAAAAAAAAAAGAAATATAGGTGTCTCTATGTGTAAAGATTTGCTTCTTATTGGCTGATAAAAATTTCCCAACTGGTGGGAAGAAATCAAGAATCAGTGAGTGACTTGTCCTACACCTTACACCAGGATTCCAGGAAGCCTGATGGTTTCACCGCCAAAAAGCACTTGCTGTATACATGTTTATCACATTCGGTTACAGAGGAAGAAGATACTAAGTAAGTGTTCTACTCTTTCTCACTGTACAGGTATTGGGAGATGTATGATGACCCATTTCTGCCAGCAATATTCTTTTCTTCATTAGTAGCTTTCGCTTCATGTGTCAGATTGCAGTGAGTAGATTCATTGCCTGTTACTACACCTTTTAAATAGTAAAATAATACCAACTATCAAAGGACCTTCTTAAATCTGAAAATCTCATATTTTAAATTTTTTAATTTACTAAAACTCAAGAAAATGAACAATTTCAAAGACAAGCCTCAGACACTCAAATTGAAATGATCTACAATTAATGAGAATTACCTTTAGATAGTCAATTAACATTCATGTAGTCTACACAAAAGTTTAGACAAATATTTATGGTTTTATGATTTAGTTTGTATTTGACTTTGGTTTTCAGATATTTGCGAATAGAATCTGAATATTTTGCCCAAACTAATTTACAGCTCACTTTATATCACATATGGGCCTCAAACTTGACACAGTTCTCCTGTATCAGCTTCCTCAATGTTTAAATTAGACATATGATTTATCATTCCCAGCATTGATGGTCTGTTTTATAATAATTTATAATGCAAAGATTTGAGTCAGAATTTCTTTCCAACCTGTTATAACTCCATGTCTAGGCAAAAAGAGGAAAACACTAGAAGAGATTCCAGGACTAACTCACCTCTAGGATTAATACACTAATTGAGTTGGTATTTGTGAAGCCTGGACATCCTTTCTCCAATATAAAACAAAATATCCAGTTAGACAGGGACTGATTGCATGCATTGGAGACACTTTTCAAATCAAGTGTTGATTTCATTTCAGAGATGAGTGGAATCAAAATGAAGGCTGATTTACAGGAACCCTCTTACTCCTTTATCGGCTCACGTATCTGTTTACACCTTTATTTTTTCAGTTAATTGTGATTAGAGATGACCCTTTAGATAGCTACTAAATAGTCTTAACAAAAATCCTATCTCGGTGCTACGTTTCCCCAGGGAGAGCAGCTGGCAAGTGCGTCAATACACTCTCTTGATATTTAACTGGTGAATCAGAATTATTTACTTCCGTGAGCAAATCTGCAAGGGGATTAGGCACAGATACCTTTTACTTCATTCAGTTTCTGTTCCACATGGAGAAAGCCTGCCCCCCTCCACAACTGAGAAGGAAACGATCATAAGACACACAGGCTTCATTCCAGAACACATTCCCACGTTTCATTTTATGCGCCACTCAATGGGGGAGTCCATTTGCATTAATTAATTAACATCCAAAATGATAGTCAAGTCACATGCTGCAACTCTCCTGAAATCTGCTTGCATTCTTGGATTAGAAAATAAAATGATTCTGCATGGGGCACACTAGAGGAATCCACGTCAATCAGCGCAGCCTCCTATTCTTCTGACGATCATTTCTGACCTATGTAGGGCAGCCGTGCCCCCGAGGAGTTCCTGCTCTCTATCTGTGATGCAAGCTGCTTCTTGGTGAGAGGTCAGTGATCGTTAAGAAACGACAGCTCTTCAGAGCAGAACTGTTCATCCCAGTCAATGGGAAACTGGCAGCCATTGGTCCACCAACAAATACCACCCTGTCTCAGAGGAGTCGGTGTTCAAATTGACAAAGCGAGAGTTAGAGTGATTGGGATGTGAAGGTATTCTATTTTCAGCTATGCGTGGTATATAAAATTAAAAGAAATAAATCCTCCAAACCCCTGCAGTTTTTCTCAGAGACAAACTCATTCCACAGGCTTGGTTAAGCATATACCATCACGACTGTGTGATTCCTTCCTGTGATTCCAAGCTCTCCAATGAGCAGAATGCGCTCACTGGACTTGGGTGAGTTCTTTCTGAAATGTCAGGCATAAACTCTACATTTGTGTGACAGTTTCACAGGGGAAACCTTTCCATTAAAGCACAGTGCTCACCAAGGTCATTGTGGAAGGTGCAATTTTAAAGCCGTAAAGGAAGAGTCTGGGTAGAAGTATCAAGAAAAAAAAAATCATCATGTTAAAATGTACAGTGTGTGAAGAACTGATTAGTCTCTGCTACTTAGTTGATTTCAGAGACAAGTGTGTTTTGTAGAAGTGACCAGTCAGAATGGTGAGGGAAAATCCCACTCTTAAAAGAGGCACAAGGAAGGTGCTTAATCCTGCCTTCTAGAGGATCAAGGCTGACAGAGCAGCCTTGAGGTATCTGTTGATAAGTCTGCAGATTCTAACTACACTTGGAGGCCCTCAATATAAAAGGGGTCAGATATTGAAATATATGTGTGTGTGTGTGCACACGCGTGCATATGCACGCACAAGTGTGTGTATATGTCCCTGTAAATATTTTAGCAACTTATCACCATCTAAAATATTACAAGTAATTGAACCATTTCCAACTTTTGACTGAGTTTCAGATGTAATATAACACAACCAGAAACATTTTTAGCTGAATGTCATGATCACCAAACATCAGCGCACATTAGTTTTAAAGAAAATAACAAGTAAGACATGCACAGATACCCAGAGGTGCTAGCTAAGCAGGAAGAAAATGGCCAAGTAAAAGTTTGCTATGCTAATGTAAGCCACCTACATATTGTTGCCACTACCGTCACCTAAGAGACTCTAGAAAAATAAAATTCCAGACCAATTTATCAAGGAACAGATTTTTACAAGATACTAGTGTGGGAATAACCATTTTAAAACAACCAGAAATACTTACTTTCCTTAATCCTCAACATATAAATTCATATCTTTTCCAAAGTCATTAGTGTGCGTGGAAACATGGACATAATTGTGTTATCACATACCTGCTGAGCAGAGGAAATGGAGTCTTTTCCGCTACTCTAATGTTGGGGTTTAGTATCTCCAACCTCTCGCAAAGCCGTTTCCACCACAGCTGCAATCCAGTCTGGGAAGTTCTTGTTTAAAGAACTGTGGGCCTTTGGGTATTTCAACTCCTGCTGCAGCGCTTACAGTTCCTTGGTGCTTCTAAGAACTTCAACTCCACTCTTCTGCCTGCTTTCCTTCCAGCCCATGCAGAAAATTATTTTTGGAGTTGCTGCCCAGAGTTTAACCACGCGGAGTCGGGTTCCTATGAGTGACAAGAGGATGAGGAAGGCAGGTTTTCAACCATCAAGGAAGGGGACCGGAGGCACCGCCTTTTAGCTGCCGAGAGCTCTTGTCCATGACAGTGACCACAAGGACAGCAGTAGAGGCAGCCGCAGCAGCACACCTAAGTCCCCAAGACGGAGGCCCAGCTGGGAGACGCTGTCCATCCCCTCCGGTGCTGAAGAGAGGGGATTAGGACCCTGTAGCCGAACGCAGATCCTATTTTCGTGCTAAGGCCTCTTCCAGGGCTTCCAGCTTTGCCGTTTTTTTCTCCATGGCTCATTTCTTAAGAATCGGTGGTCTCTCCAGCATAATATCCTCCAGTGTATACGCTGTCAGCGTTTCCGGAGAGTCAGGAATCCGTGGGAAATAAGAACTGAGCGTCTTCTGAGTTCACGGAGGCTCTGAGTGGGTTTCCTAATGGTAGAAATGAAAAGAACGCACGAACATGGGCGCGCGCACGGGCGCACGCGGGGTTGGGGGGGGGGGGTGCAGAGAGAAAGAGACACAGAAGAGAGGGGAGGAGGAGGGGAGGCTGAGCACTGTGCAAACTGTAGAGGTGCTTGGCAAGCTCGTGAATCTTTAACCACATGAAACGAGAAGGATTATTTTGAAGGGGCCAGCAATCTTGCTTCCCATGGCAGGGACATATTCACATTTCGAAGCCCTAAGCGGAATTCCAAGATGACGAAGTAAGGATGCCCAGTTCCCTCCTCACACAGAGACAGAGTCTTGCCAGAGAATGCGGAAACAGGAGGAAGGGACAGGGAGAGGACTGGGATACCTTTGTTCCCGAGGCGTTGTGGCGCGGTGGAGAGCTAGGCACAGACACCGAAGTCCGAGCGTGCGGCCAGGCCAAGGAGATTGCGTTCTAGCACCGACCCTCCCACCGCCTGGGTTTCCGCAGGGGCGAAAGCGTCTCGCGGAACAAAAGACTGGATGAGTGTAGTCGATCAGGTAAGCGGGACTGCTAGGCCATCCCTAAAAGACTTGGGTAAGGTTTAGGCATAGAATCGAGACGCTCAGGCGTCTAAGCTCAGCAGTCCGGCTCCTGGCGGTGCAGTGCAAACCCCACTCCATTAGAGAAGCTTCCTGTGGAGCTGGACACGGGCTCACATTGGTGACCCTATAGGAGGCTGCTGAGGGCTCCGCCATCCACACGTGGCAAACGGTGCCTCCACGCATGGAGTGAGATGGGGCAATTGAAATACACAGCATGGGAAAATGGGGCCAGCTGCTTAAAACCGCGCCCCTGCGGGGCCGGGCGTGACTATGGGAAAGCTGCAAATCGCCGGCTGACACCAGCCTGGGCAGCGCCTAACTCCAGCCAAAGGACTTGTGCAGCGTGGACTTCTGCACCAGGAGTTTGTTCCCACCTAGGGACCCGAACGAGCGGAGCACAGAGTCGCTGCGAAGGCACTAGGGTTCACCCGATGCGGATGGATGCCCGCTCTCCGCCCGCACCGGTTCTTGCTTTTCCCACGCCTCGGACTAACTGGGGAAGTCATGGAATTATTCCACGCTTCGCCTCCCCCGCCCCCCGCACTCCCGCCAGCTGTGCTTTCGCTTCCCCTCCGCTGGAAGCTCAGTGCCTGTGGGTCATCCCGCGTCGCCAGATGGCGTTCTGCGGAGTTTACGGGGCTGCAGGATGAGGAAGGGAGGCAGCAGCCCCGCCAAGGGCTAGGCTGCTGCCCGGAGAGGACATGGCTTCAGGGAAAAAAGCACGAGGAGCGCAGTTCCTCAAGCAGCTGGGCCTGCTTTCCCTGATTTGGGGCCATTCCCTGTTTCCTGCTCCTCGTGGTTCTTGCTGCAAGAGGCCCAGGCTAGCGCAGCCCTCATTTCAGGACGAGGGGCCAGGCCCACGCTCTCTTACTCCAGGTCTGAACCTGACTCTGGGGCACATTATAACTCCGGAGTCCCACGAGCACCTGGTGATGGTGATGTGCCTGAGCATGAGATCCAAAGACGCAGTTTGGGAGCTAGCTAATTTTAAAAAGCTGTTTTGTTTTTCGGTTCCTGGGGAAAGGCTTATGGTAAATTACTTTTCCCTCTTCTTACCACCACTGCAAACACGCTTTTCTTGTATCTGTGTAAACAAATACGTGTTTGTCCAAATACGTTTCAGAAGGTACCCTATTTTTGTCAGAGGATAAAAATAGCTTGCTTAAATTAAAGGCTGTGTTTGTTTTCTTTGCTCCGTTACATGCTTACTTCAATTGATTCAAGTAATTGTTTAAATTGTTTCTTGTATGTGTGGAGACATAAATCATCACAGGAAATTAGCCCGGCGAACAAAAGCCTATAAATATAGCACAGGAATGCTGCAAATTTAAAGCAAATGCACATCCTTACCAACCACAGGGACAGATTTCCCTTTGTAGAGCACAGATTTATGCTAACGCAGAGCCTCGCTCTCAGCCGTCTCCTCCTCCCTCTCTGTGGCCACCACATAAAAAGAAATAGTTGATTAATTGAAGCTGTCGGGAACTAACAGGTTATAGTAGTTTGACGTCTTTTCTTGAAGAAGCAAATCTGTTGCACGTTTCTCCTGGTTCGGAAAGCACTGTTGAATGAAGGTGGTGACGAGCAAATGCGGAGGATCATCCGATGGGACAAACGCATGGAAAGAATACTAAAAGGGCAGATAGGCCGAGGTGGATTGGAAAACTAGTCTTTAAAAAGATGCTGTTGAATAAAACTTGTACAATGAAAATCTCAATCATTTTTATTCTTAAAAGTTACTTTTGTTTTCTATATGTGTTCTTATATATAGAAGTATATATATGTAAAACAAAAGTAACCTACCTTCTATACTATATGTGTATGTATACGTACAAACATGTGTGTATATATTTTTGTACTTTATGTGTATTTACACATACATGTGATATATATATATATATATATATATATATATATTAGAAGGTAAGTCAGCAGAGCATTCTGTGAGGAACAGGCAGTGACTAGAGTCCTCAACTAGTCAATCCTCAATTTAGATGCAGCCTCACCTAACACACTTCACAAGGCCAGGATCTTAGAAACAGAATAGTTAGGCACATTTTGGAGACAATGTGAATTGGTATCGGAGTGTTTGGCAGTTCAAAGCGAGAGTTAAATGGAACATGATACTATTATAACCTTCGCTCATGCCTGTACAGGTTCTCCAACCTTGATAACCATTTAGTCATCTAGGTTTCAAGGATGAAAGGGGTGGTATTTCGTGCCATTTCAATTTCATGGTCATATGGAACCTCCAATGTTTGTTTAAAAAAAGAAGGAAGATAGGAAGGGAGGAGGGAAGGGAGGGAGGGAGGGAGGCAGGGAGGGAGGGAAAGAAAACTTCTTATGTTTTGTATATTTCTACAAAAAAAAAAAAAGCTGTATCGTCTCAGGCATGGCCTTTCCATGCTGCGGCTACACTTCATTACAAGCACAGACAACTTAAGAGACTTTATTTGTATCAACAAACAATTGTAACTTTATCTGGGTTCACTTAATATTTAGAGTTCAAGCAACAGGAACAACACCTACTTTGGCAACATGGTCAATTTACAGGTTCAATGTCTTCATTTTAATTTTAGTTCATTTGTTTCTATTGTATCAAATACAATTAAAGCTAACCTGTAGGCGATTATTTCTCCAATGAAATGGTTACTTTAAAGCGTTCTTCTGAGGGTTTTCTAACAAAGTGTTTCTCTGTGGTACTTTTTTTGCTTCTTTTCTGCCAGTAGGGACTGGTCAGGGTGTTTTGCCTTCAATCACGCAGATATTCTTTGTTGAACAATCACCAGGTAAGCCTTTTGAACGTCTTGTGCTTGGAGCAGTGAGCACAGCTGGTCGCAGATGAACACAGAGGTCTCTCCTTGACTGAGGAACAAAATTCGGTACAATTTGCTCAGTGTTATTTGTGCGCCGAGAGGGATGAGTGACAAGTGGAAGTCTGTGAACCTAAGAAAATGAGTCATTGCAACCACAGCCGCCAGCGAAGTCCGTGCTGTTCCAGTCCACACTTCTTATGTTTTCTCTTAAGCAATTCTGACTCCAGTGCTGACCCACTTGAAAGAGAATGCCACTTTCTGCATTTGAATAAGTTGCTTCAATGTTTTAATATATTCTTCATTTTGTTTTATTACCATTGGTATGTGATAACTTACCTAAAAGCCTCGCGTGGGCTGAGAAATTCCAGACAAGAAAATTGACTTGACTGATATCACCTCTGGAAGCATTCAATAAGGAGATCCAAGACCAACCTCGCTGGTTCCCATTCACTCACACACTGCAGGGGAAATGACCTGCAGATGGACTCTTTCACCTACCAAAGTTCCCAAAGTCCAAGATGTCACACGCGCACGGTCTCCTTTTGGAAGGAGAGCCCCCATCCCGTCAGTTGTCCTGATTAAAAGAACAATTATGTTTCTGGAGATGGTTGTCTGCCTTCTTGTATTTCCATGTTACCCCCATCAATCTTGATCTAATATGATATATTCATGTGTGTGTGATGTGTTTACAGGCACACATTCTCGTGTGTGTGTGTGTGTGTGTGTGTGTGTGTGTGTGCGCGCGCAGAGGTCAGAAGCAGACAAGCAGGCCTTCTCGATTACTCCTCACATAATTTTTTTGAAACTCTCTCACTGAATCTGTAGCTGACCTATTCAGATGAATTGACTGACCGGAGTGCCCCATGGAGCACTCCCTGCATCCCCAGCGGCGAGATTAAAGGTACACAATGCAATGCCTATCTGTTCAAATACATAGATCTCAGGTCCTTAGTCTTATGTGATGGACACTTTACTGACTGAGTAGTTTTTCCAGCTGTGTTTTTTATCCTAAAATGAAAATAACGCAACCTACTTCACAGAGTAAGCACTCAACACATGAACTCGGTGTAAACTGGCCTCCAGTAGGACATTCTGACGGAAAGCATAGGATAGTACCAAGAGGGAGTTTCCAGTGAATACTGAAATCACTTGCATTTAATTTCCATTTGCTTAAAATATTCCCAATCCCAAAAGGTAGGAGTAAGATAAAAAACTGCATTAACATGATACAAGGAAATGAACAGACCAGTTGAATGTTGTGCTACATTCTTAGTTAAACATTCTGTTGCTAGAATAAGACAAGTAGCGCTCACACCCTAGACCAAAACATTCTGTAGGCAAACCACTCTCTAGGTGGATTCCATAGCTGTCTCCTTAAGGGAGTCGGAACTTAGTTGGGTCCTTAGACTTTTGTTTGAGGTAGGAACAGATCTACTTCGCTATGCCTGGAGTAAAAGGTCTGGCTATTAGCGGCACCTGTTGACAATAACCTTGAGCAAGCAGAACTCTCTGATCTGAATCTAGGCAAGACCTTTGTTTGAGATGGAAACAAATAATAACCTTGAAGGAATAGAAGTAAGTCCCAACTCTCCGACCTCTTTCTTTGGTCAGTGTGGAAATAGGCTCACATTTTTGGGCCTCCACGTGCGTCTTTAGCATTGTAGCACTCTTCCTGGGCAGATAAGAGCAAATGTTTACTCACCCAGACAAGGAACTGAGGAGAGACTAAAGTATGAATAACACCCAACTCCTGACTCATGAACCAATTAGTTTTATTGGATTTAATTAGAGGAATATGGATGCGGAACTTCTTACAGTGACAGAATTGACAAAACAACAACAAAGATAACAGTTGTATCA